CTGCAGGGGTGGGGGGTGGAGAGGGAAGAGGGGCGGGGTGGGGGGAGGGCTCGGTGAGGGTCAGGCCTTGCCCCTCCCTGCCTGGGCAGGGACGTCAGCATGCAGGATACGTCAGGGCCACTGCGACCCATGGCATCAAACCCATCATGGCCCATGGACTTGGCTCGCCAGGGCCACAACCAGGGCGAAGGTGCTCGCCAGGCGGGTGGCTGACTCCCTTTGATCCCTGGCATCACAGTCTTCCCACCCGCCCCCAACCCCACCAGGTGCCCACCCACCCCGCTGTCCCCACACCAGGGACTGCCTCGGACTCCCAAGAGGGAACCCGTCACAGCCCTGCCTCTCCTCTGCGACCCTCACGCCAGCCCCCTCCTTCTTCCTCTGCCTGCCACTGCCGAGAGCTCCTCCCCGTGAGCAGAGCAGGCCCTGTTTTTCTGTCTAGTATTTGTCATACATAACTTGGGGCTGGAGTGACAGCACAGCGGGTAGGGCATTGGCCTTGCACGCGGCCCACCGGGTACCCTGAGCACCGCCAGGAGTAACTCCTGAGTGCAGAGTCAGGAGTAACCCCTGAGCATCACCAGGTGTGACCCCCAAAAGAAATATCTATCTATCTATATATATGTATGTATATATGTGTATATATATGTCATAGCTTTTCAGTTATTTACAAATTGGAAAATATGTCACAAAGAATAAAATTTAAAAAAAAACCCTGAGTGCCCCAAAACAGATGACTGGTTAAAGAAACTTTGGTATATCTATACAATGGAGAACTATGTAGCTGTTAGAAAAGATGAAGTCATGAAATTTACATACAAGTGGTACTACATGGAAAGAATCATGCTAAGCGAAATGAGTCTGTCCCTGTCAGAGGGACAGACATAGAAAGATTGCATTCATCTGGGGGACATAAAGTAACAAAAAAGGAGATTAATACCCAAGAATAGCCGAGATCAGTACCATGAGGATTACTCCATGGCTTAGAGGTCAGCCGGGCATTCTAGGGGAAAGGGCAGCTCAGATAGAGAAGGGAGCACCAAATAAAGGGTGTTTGGAGGATCCTCCCAGGATGGGAGATGAATGCTGAAAGTAGACTATGGACCGAACATAAGTGCCATTCAATGCCTCTTTTGCAGACCGCAATACCCAAAAGGAGAGAGAAAACAAAAGGGAATGCCCTGCCACAGAGGCAGGGTGGGATGGGGGGATGAGGGGTGGGAGGGATACTGGGATCCGTGGTGGTGGGAAATGGGCACTGGTGGAGGGATGGGTATTTGATCATTGTATAATTGAAACCCAAGCACAAAAATTTGTAAGTCTACAACTGTACCTCATGGCGTTTCACTAATAAAAATATATAAAAAGAAAAAGAAAAAAATAATAAAATAATACGATGGCTGTGTGTAACTGGCCCGTAGCGGATGGCAGGTGTTACTTAGAGCCTTTGGTGCACGATGACGCCACCCTGGGGCATGATGGAGCACCCGGGGGTGGCCAGGGAAGCCATTCTCTAGGGAGACCCTTCCAGGGGCTTCTCTGGCTGGGACCCGGCACCCCTCTGGGCTCTGCACGAGACCACTGGCTTCCAAGCTGCCGTAATTAAGCATCTCTGGACCCAGGATTCTCCTTGTCTGATTTGTCTGCCGGGTGGCAGCCTTATGCATGACGGCTGTGAAGCACAGCCAGGGAGCTGGCACCCCCACCGTGTGAGCCCCTCCCAGCATGCACAGCACCCGAGGGTGGGTGATGCTCCCCCACTTCCTGCCAGTGAAACCACAGCAGAAACTAAGGGAGGGAGGGTGGTCAGGCAGGACATGGCGAGTGGCACTCAGGCTGCGTCTCCGCAGGTCCAGTGGGCACAACACCCCAAGAGCTTCACCCCACGAGGAGTCTGAGTGTCAGACACAAAAGCTGCTGTGACCGTGTGACCTGCTGGTGGGGGGGGACAAGGGAGGGGGTGTCTGTGATCTTGAGCTGTATCCCACCCATTAGTCTACCCTGCCAGGGCTGCTGGGGAGTGCTCAGGGCTTTTCTTTATTTCTGTCTTTCTCTCCTTTTAATTTTTTTTTGGGGGGGGGCTGGAGCAATAGCACAGCGGGTAGGGCGTTTGCCTTGCACGTGGCCGACCAGGGTTCTATTCCCAGCATCCCATATGGTCCCCTGAGCACCGCCAGGGGTAATTCCTGAGCGCAGAGCCAGGAGTAACCCCCGTGCACTGCTGGGTGTGACCCAAAAAGCAAAAAAAAAAAAAAAAAAAATTAATTTAAAAAAATAAAAATAAAATAAATTATTTTTTTTGGTTTCTTGGGTCCACCCCGCGGTGCTCAGGGCTTCCTCCTGGCTCTCCGCTCAGGAATCACTCCTGATGGTGCTCAAGGAACCACAGGAAATGCTGAGGATCGAACCGGGGTGGGCTGCGTGCAAGGCACACGCCCCGAGGGGTTTTCTGTTTTGTTTTGTTTTGTTTTTTGCTTTTTGGGTCTCACCCAGCGATGTTCAGGAGTTACTCCTGGCTCTACACTCAGGAATTACTCCTGGCGGTGCTCAGGGGACCGTATGGGATGCTGGGAATAGAACCCAGATCAGCCATGTGCAAGGCAAATGCCCTACCCGCTGTGCTATCACTCCAGCCCTCGGTGGAGTTTTCTTTGAAAGAGTCAGAGAATTTTTTTTTATTTGGGGATGAGAGTACTGAGGTCACACCCAGCAATGCCCAGGGCTTACTCCTGGCTCTGTGCTCAGGGGACTATATGGGTGCCAGGAATTAAAGCGACATTGGCCACGTATAAGAGCCTCTCCCCTGACCCCTCCCCGGTGCTAGAACCTTCAGCCCGGTGCTGTCTTTCCAACCTTGAGAGTGTTTCTAACGTATTCACTATATACTTGCAATTTAAAAGTGATTACAAGCTCCAAGGCCTGCAGGAGAGAGAAGGGAGGCTCCTTGGGATGAACCTCATTTAGGTGATTCCATCAGCTAACACAGAAGCTGGCATCGACTCAAACCATCTCCTGGCAGTTGGGGAGGGGGGAGGGGTGTAGAGATGCGGCCCGAGACTTGGATTAGATTCCTCAGCATCACAAAAATCAATGTATGGTGTCCTGAACTTGGCTGTCAGAAATGACTCATTGGACAAATATTTCAAAGAGGGTGGGCCCAGAGATGACACAGGGGATTGGGGTCCTCGCCGAGCATACGACTCACCCCAGCTGGGTCCTGGCACCCCATCCGGTCCTCTGGGCCCCACCAGTAGTGAGCCCTGAGCACAGCACCAGGAGTAACCCCTGAGCATCACCAGGTGTGGCCCAAAGACTCCTGTCATCTCATCCTACCGTCAGCTGTCCCCTGGGTCCCGTTTCTAGTTGCACTGATGCAGACCCCAAATGTAGGCACCAAATATAGTAGCAGGGGGCCACATGCAACCAGGAGACGCACCCACACCACATGGAGGACTGTCCCACTGCCCATACAAAATGGCTCAGGCCGAGGCATTTTTGTTTGCTTTAGTTTGGTTTGGGGTCACGCCCAGCGGTGCTCAGGGCCGACTCCTGGCTCTGCACTCAGGAATCATTCCTGGCATGCTTGGATTGAATCCCGGTCAGCCGTGTCCAATGCAAACACCTGCCCCACCACTGGACCATCGTCCCAGTTACTGGGCAATGGTTTTTTTTTTTTTTTACAACAGAGGTTGTGGGAGAAAACCCTGAAGTTGTGAGCAGGGGTTGGAGGGGTGATGGGGAACATTTGCAAAAGGGAGCTAAAATGTCTGCTGGAGGGGCTTCTGTTAAGCACATTTTATCCTAGACTTGAAGTTTTATTTTATATTACCAGTTGGTCTATGTAAAAAAAAAAAAAAAAAAAAAGCCCTCATCAAAGACTCCCCAGCCTGGGAACCCTTTAACTGGGCAGGTGCCGGGTTACAAGGAGGCCTTTATCCACACCCAAGGCTAGCTGAGTGTGGCGTGACTATACCGCCCCCTGGTGGTGGTGCACGAACTTAACAGACGCACAAACGTTCCGAGGGTGATCTCTCTAGGTCAACGCTCAGCTTTAGTCTCTTCGTGTGTGTGTGTGTGTGTGTGTGTGTGTGTGTGTGTTCATACCCAAGGTCAGTGAGAACAAGGGCCAGAAGGAGGACTGGCCCATGGTTGGAAACTTGCCACAAGTGAGGGAGGAGGGCAGTTAGGAAACAGAAGGGACCACTACAACAAGGATAGTCGGAAATGATCGCTCTGGACAAGAACTGAGCGCTGAGAGAAGGTAAAGGGACATGCACGATAACCTCTTAGTACCTATTGTGCAAATCATAATGCAAAAAGGAGAGAAAAAGAGAGAAGAAGAAGGAGGAGAAGGAGAAGGAGGAGGAAGGGAGGAGGAGGAAGAGGAGGAGGAGGGAGGCCAGGAGCAGGAGGAGGAAGAGAAGGAGTGGGAGGAAGAGGAGGAGGAGGAGGAAGAGGAGGAGGAGGAGGAGGAGGAGGAGGAGAATAGGAGGAGGAACAAGAGGAGAAGAGGAGGAGGAAGAAGAAGAGGAGAAGGAGGAAGAGGACAAGGAGAATAGGAGGAGGAAGAAGAAGAGGAGGAGGAAGAGGAGGAGGAGGAGGAGGGGGAGGAGGAGGAGGAGGAGGAGGAGGAAGAGGAGGAGGAGGAAGAGGAGGAGCCCTATGCCAACTGTCCCCAAAACTTCCCAACTAGAAAGTCGGATTTTCGCCGTATCTGTGGGGCGGTGTTCGGGCGACTCTGAGAGCATGCCCGTGGCCGCTCTGCTATTCGCTGGCAGACAGCAGGTGCCCGCTGTGGGTGGTGAGGGCTGACAGCCTCAAAGCACACGCCCCTTACTCCGAGGCTCCAGGCCCACGGCTGTCCCCATGTGGGGCCACTATCTTGCGTCATTGCATGTGTTTCTTCAGAGTGGGGATGCGTTGTGGTTTATGTAGGGAACACCCAGAGCACTGGAGAAAGGGCAGCAGCCAAGCCTGTCTGAGAGCCAGGACCGGGTTTC